TATATATATATATATATATATATATATACCTCCACTGATACAATTTAAAACTGAAGTTTTTCCCGCATTATCAAGGCCTAAAATAAGCAAAATAATAGTCCTAAAAATCAGATTATTATTAAGTAAACATTTTCTTATTAATACGAATATTTTATTATATAAAATCATTACTTTTCTGAACATTTTTTCTTTTGTAACCTTTGTAGTACGTTTCGCATACAATTACCCATTATAATAAATCTGTTATATGTTGTACTTTTAAACTAATTCATGTCATGTTGTACTGTACATTTCTATATTTAAGAAATAGACTTAAATATAATACAGACCAATTAACAATCATTGCACGTAAAACACATCTATATTAATTAAAGTACTATCAATATAATGAATATAACTTCACATGTATAATGAATAAATAAAATAAAAACTCTGAATTCTGAACTAAAAATTTATTTTTTTATATGTAAATATACAAATAATTAAATCATAAAATATAAAAAACAATACATGTATTATATATTATATCATATAAAAAATTATAAAAATTATGAAATATCGAATATAAATTTATAAATCTTTGTGAAAATATGAACAATTTTTTCAAATTATACTAATATTTTTGAAATTATATTTTTATATAAAAAAATTCTATTAATGATATCTAAATAATATATTTTTTTTAAGTTTCTTTCTATGTTCTTTTCATACTTCGTGTCTTTTCTTCGATCACACTTAAAAATGTCTCAAAAAAATTTTTAATATATATTTTTTAATTTTGAAATATATAAATAAATAATTAATATTGAATATTAAGAATATATTTAATAACAATAAATAAATAATTTATTTTATTCATATTTTATATTATGTTATTAAAGCCATTAAATGTCAGTTTAATTAGAATTTTTAAAATTATTTTGAACAAAAGATAAATATATTGTATCATATTTGATTTTGTAAATAATATATATATATATTTAATATTTTTTAATAAATATGGATAAAGGCTATTTATTGTCAAATAAAGTTGGTTTTATTGGTGGTGGAAATATGGCAAGTGCTATTGGTGCTGGCTTAATTCGTAAAGGTAAAGTTTTTTAATATAATTTATAATAAATAATTATAATAAAATATTATACTTATAATTAATAAAATATTATAATAAATAATTTATAATAAAATTAATGATTAATTGTAATACGAAAAATAATAATACAATTAAATTCTTATTATAGGTATTTTAAATCCAGATAATGTTTGGGTTTCTGCTCGTACAAATAAAACTTTAGGCTTTTGGAATGATCTTGGTGCTCATGCTACATTAAAAAATGGAGAAGTAGTAGATAATTGTGATATCATATTCTTAGCAATGAAACCTCATATGTTTGATGACGCACTTAAGGGTATTAAAGAAACGATGACAAGCAAAGTTTCACATATTCTTTTTGTTTCAGTTCTTGTAGGAGTTACATTAGATTGTTTAGCTAATGTAAAATCATTATTAAAAATATAAATAAACCATGTTTGTATAAATAAATATAAATTTAATAATTAATATAATATTTTTAGAAACTTAAATCTATTGTTACATATCCCAGAATAATTAGATGTATGCCTAATACTCCAATGATGGTTGGAGAAGGAATAACAGGTAAAATAAGATATAAAATAAGATAATATAAATACATAAAATAATATTGTGTAAAATAATAATTATAATTTTTAATGTTTAGTATATTGTTCTATGAATACAACAAATCAAGATGAAACTATAATAGAAAAATTATTTTCATATATTGGTGTAATTGAAAATGTTCCTGAATCTCTTATGAATGCTATAGGTGGTCTTTCAGGATCTGGTCCTGCTTATGTAGGTATAATTAATATTATATATTTTTTTGAAAACAAACATTAAAATTAAATAAAATTTCTCTAGGCATATCTTGTTATAGAAGCATTATCAGATGGTGCTGTGAAGATGGGTGTTCCAAGACCAATGGCAACAAAATTTGCAGCTCAAGTATTAGTTGGAGCTGGTAAAATGGTATTAGAAACAGGTAGACATCCTGGTCAATTAAAAGATGAAGTATGTTCTCCAGGAGGTACAACTATTACAGGAGTACATGCTATGGAATGTGGACAAGTTAGGTAAAATAACCATGAAAGTATTATGTACAGATTCTTCAGATATTACTATCTTGATTTTCATCCCTATTATTATCTATAACAAAAAATGTTTCACATGAAATCAAACATCTAGAATAGTTGAATGAAAGGAAAACATTAAAGTATTATTTTGTATGTTTCTTGTTTTTTATACAATAAATTTTAAATTTTAAGTCTAATATTTCTTAAAAATATTTCTAAATTAATAATTTTTGAATATAAGTTAATATTTTTATGTAGAGAATCAAATATGAATTAATGTAATAAAAAATATATAATTCTATTTAAAAAAAGATTCATACGTGACTACATAAAAAAAAACTAATAATATCAGAATGTATTCTTTCTAAAATCATTCAATTTTATTTAAAAAAATTTTTATTATCAATAATAACAATAATATAAAACAAAATAGTAATATCTGATGAATCATTTTATATATCATTGCATTATAACATTATCAATTATATTTGTAGAGCTTCTATGATGAATGCAGTTGAAGCTGCAGTAAGAAAATCAAACGAATTAACATCTAACATAAAATAAAAAAAATTGTAAAATATAAATATAATAATAATATATAATATAAAAATATGTAATATAATTTGCATTTTTATAAGTTTCTTTATTTTTAAGAAATTATTTTATTTTAAATTTTTTATCTTTATTTTTAAGAATTATAAGTACTTTTAAGATGTTTATTATTAAGATAATTTATTATTTATAAATACAAATAGTACAAATAAGTTCTAATTTAATATGAAAATAAATATTCAAATACAAATTGATTTGCTATTTTAAATAAATACAATTTTTATTACTTTTTATATATAATTTAATTATAATGCTAGTAAGAAAAAATAAAATATTGATAATGTATATTATATGTTAAATATTTTACAATTATATATTATACAAAATGTAATTATATGTAATTTGTATATTACATATAAAAATATTATGTTTTTGAATATTCTACACAACGAGATGGATCTGTAGGATAATATTCTTGACACTTGGTCATAAGTCTTTTTAATGCTTGAATATATTTTCTTTGAGTTTCATCATTCATTACATGTGCCACATTTTTTGAGAAAATTTTTTCTCTTCCAGTACGCGCATGAATACCAACCATAGTTACTCCAATAGGCCATGGAGAATTTCCTATTGCCATTTGTAAATATGCATCACTTGCCTATAATAAAAAACTTATAATATATATATTATTTTAAAATTATATATATATTATATAAAGTTATTAATATACTTACTAATATATAATTACGTTCAAGTAAATGTTTTACAATATCAGTTAAACTATCAGTAATATCTTCTGGAAGGGATTTATTTTTTAATTTTCTAAGAAGAGGTTTTAAATATTCTCTTGTTTGGGCATAAGTAGCACTAGCCATTTTTCCTCTGGTGCTCATTTTTTCTGCAGTACTTCTACTATTTAATTGATTACCCCACATTTGTACTAAGAATTGTATGAATTGTGTAATGACATTTAAATCAAAATCTCTGTCACCCTTATTTAATTTTATAGACATTTTTTGTAAATCTTCATAAGTAACTCCTTCATCTGGCACATGTACATCTCCTTTTCCATCGCGATCTTGAGGTTTAGAAGAAGCTAATATTTCATTCAAATATGCTTGATCTACTTGTTCCATAGCTTCTTGAAAATCATTTCTAAAACCCTTTAATTTAAAATAACCATTATATAGTAATCATTGCAAATATTTTATTCTTTTAAAATATTTTACTTACTTTATTTACTTCAGGTTCAAGAATTTCACATTTTCTTAATCGTTTAAAGGCTTCTATTTCTGATTCTCCAAATAATAATATAGGTTCACTTCTTTCACGTAATCTTCTAATTACTTCGTGCCTAGGTAATGTTAAATGCTCAGAACTACCATCAGTTACAGAATCTTCTTGTTGTTGAATTGTATTAATTTTAATATCATCATTATTATTTTCTTGTATTTCTTTTACTTTTTGATCTTTTGTCATTAATTCACTTCTTCTAAAATATTTCTTGTTATTTTGCTGTAATATTATTTTAATATTATTTTTTAAATAAAACAAAAAAATACTTAAAAAAAATTATAAATTGATTATTAAATAAAATATTACCAAAACATTACTTTCCTCCAACTGTTTTCTTTTCTTCATTATTTCTGCTTTTAAAATATCCATTATTAAAAAATTTCAATGATAGAATTCAATTTAAATTAGAAATTATTATATGTATACGAATAATAAATTCAGAAATTGTTCTAAAATAATTAAGAAATTATTTTTCTCTATTTAAATTTTTAAGGTTATTTATATATTATCACAATTTATATATAGAATAGATTAATGGTGGGCAATATAATATCGATATTTCAAATATCGATACTTTTCAATTCAAATATCGATATTTTGTATTGAAATATATTGATATTTAATGTGATAATTCCATTATTGAAACATAAATTTTGAGACTTCAATACAAACATATTTCCTGTAACGTAATATGTTATAAGAAAAAAGAAATAATCACTAGCTTTCTATAAAATTTTTAATTATTTCAAAATTTATTTTAATAAATATACTTAAATGAAAATTAGAAAATAATGATGAAACAAACAATAATTATTTAATAATAAACAAGAAATTATTTATCAGAAAACATTTACAATTGTTATTTATTGAAAATCTTTCAATATTCGATCAAAACATTCTATAATATAATAATATAATTTTATATTTTTATCTATATTCTAATTAAGTTATTAAATATTTAAAATATTTAATTTAAATAAATGATTTATTTTCATTATAAGATTTTGTTGCTTTTAATTATAAGTATTGATGTCGATAATATGGATATATATCAAAAATTGATCAAATTTATTGTCATCATTAGAATAGATTATTATATAATGTATTTTTATGTTTCAGATGATAACATAAATGAGATACATATGATGATATCTTTATTTTCTCATGAAATAAAATCAATGCATTTCTAATTATTATATCATTAATTTCCTATTATGATATATATAAAAGTGAGAAACGACAACGGGAGATGATTTTGATGCCATTTTTTAAAAAATTTTCCATCCTAAAATAGACGCTAAGATATTAAAGTATTATTGTAAAAATTTCTTTTTGATAATGTCTCTATTCTCATTCTCAATATTATTCTTCTTCATATTTAATGTAATCAAAATATTGGAATGCTCGCTGAAAACAATTATATATATTATAGTTAATTTTTTAAAGTAATATTATAACTATAGTAAAATACAAATATCAAGGTTATATAAACTTTAAAATAAAGTCGATATATTCAAGTTAGAGAAAATTTTTCTTTTATACAGATATATATAAAAAAAAAAAAAAATCACAAAAATATTCGAATACTTAAAGATAAGTCATGTTTACAAATTTATATTATATTATATTATATTTATATTAATTATAATATATTATTAGAATTAATACTAAGAAGTTTAAGTTTTTATTTTTAGTATAGTATATTAGTTATTTATATTTAAAATATAGATTATATTTGAAAAAAATCCAAAATATAAAAATACAAGAGAAAATTAATATTAAAAGAGAATATTAAAATTTTAAAGAAAAGAAATTTTACAAAGAGATGTTGAATAGAAATAAATCAATGATTTAATATATTATTAAAAAATGGAATAATATAGGAAATCTTGCAAATAAAATTACTAAAAATTAGTAAAAATCGATTTTAAAGAAATTAAAATATCGAGGAAAAAAGGTAATTATTCCTAAAATAAAATTAATTTTAATATTGGCTCTAAAACTTGTAATTATATTCAAGAATGCAAGGAAAAAGATTTTCATTCAGAATCTTATCGAAAAATTTTACAAAAATATAGTTTTATATAATACAATAATTATATAAGAAACTGTTTTAATAAATTAATTTTTAATTAATAACAGAGACTGAATTTTGCGAAAAAGAATACATTGATAAAGGAAACATTTTCTGAGATATTATACTTTTCGATAAAAGTAAATTTAACATAAATATTTTTTATTCTGATACAATTATTTGAAAAAATCGAAAATTGAAATGAAAATTTATATCTTATAAAACAGTGTTAGTATTTTATATAGTATAGAATTATATGATAAATAATGATACTATATTTTACTATAATAGTATAAATAGAATTTTAGATAAATATTTTCATTTAAGTTAAAAAAATTTTAAGTAAGATATGAAAAAATTAGATTTAATAAAAAATAAATTGTCACAAAACTTTTACTTTAAATAGTGAATGATTGTAAACATTGTTTGGGTATTATATACTTATACAATATATTTATACAATATATATTATTTAAATATGCCACTATAAAGTCTTGTTATTAATTCTATCAAATATTTATGGTCTTAAATAAATAAAAAATAAAATAATGAAATATTGAGTTATGAAATAAATAACAAAATGTTATTAAAACAGATAATATTGAAATATGAAATATTATAGATATAAATATTATGTTTTATATAGAATATTTAAAAATATTCTATATAATATTCTATATAAATATTCTATATATATAATATATATAATATAAATATTCTATATATATAAATATTATATAGAATATTTTAAAATATGAGAACATCCATTAATTGGAAATTTTTCTTTAATTTTCCTTTTTGTTATAGTTTTATTAATAAATTATTAATAAAAAAAATTGGCCAATCATATAACTTATTTGAGAAATATCAAACAATAAATAAACAATATATCATTTGACTGTTATATAAATCAAATATATTTAACTGTTTATTGTTTTATTATTATATAATGTAAGATTTATGAGACATAAAAAATAACATAATATATTATTTTTTCATATTATAATTTGTCTTATTAAACTTATTTTATTTATTTAATCATAATTTATTTTTATATTCCTATATATAAACTAATATATGTATATTTTTCCTCTTTTTCTTTCCTTTTCTATTTCTTTTTCTCTTCATTCATCTCTCATAATTCTTATTTTGCTTCTATAATTTATAATTTTATTCTTTTCTTTTTTATTTTCTTCTTCTTTCTTTTGTTTTTGTAAATATTTTTCATATTTGTTTTTTTTATGCTATTTTGGTTTTATTTATAAAATTTAAAAATTTTCTTTTAGTATTTATTCTTTTTTTCTTCTTTTTGTACTTTTATATTTCTTTTTTTGTTTATTATGTATTTTCTTATTTTTGTATTAATTTTTTATTTTCTTTTTTATTTATTAATTGACATTTTATATTTTTTCAAAATTCCACCTTTTTTTCTTCCTTTCTTTTCTTTCTTTTCTTCTTTTTTTCTTCTTTATACTACTTTTTTCTTTTTTTTATTTTCTTTATATCTTATCTTTATCATGCATTTATATTTTGTCCTAATTTTCTTAGGAATGTCATCATAGTTCTACTTCTTTGCTCTCTTGCGTTTATTTCTTTTTGATATTTTTATGATACTTTTTTCATAAACTTTTATTTATCAATTTTTAATTTTAATATTTTTTTTATTTTTCTTTTTTTTTCTTTTTTTTTCTTTTCTTTTTTTTTCTTTATTTTTCAAATTGAACCATATTTTATAATATGCCATTGGATGAACTTTGAAAAATTTTGAATTGGAAAGACTTTGTTTTTTTATGAAAAAATATTAAGTTTTTATGATATAAAACTGTTAGTTAAGAAGATATTTTTATTTTTTTTAAATTCAATATTTTTTCAATTTGTATAGAGATTTTTTTATTTCTTAACTTTATTTCTAAATGATCTAATGATTTAATTACTCCTAAGATTTTTATAGAAATTTTTTGGTATTTTTGAATAATTTTTTGTTTTAAAATGTTAATGATTGAATATTATAATCATTAGATAGAAAGAGATAATTTTATTGAATTTTCGCCAAGATTGCATAATCTAAGGTATTAAATTCTTTTTTTTTGTGAATATTTAAAAAATATATGTATATATTTATATATGTATAAATATACATATAAATATAAATATGCATACTATATATATCTGAATTAAAATATTTTTTAAAATAATAATTTTATGCTATAGAAAATTAAAAATTTTTTTTATGAAATACTAAATTACATATGTATATATATAATAATATATTTTAAATTTATTAAAATAACTTATTAAAGTAAGGTAATAAAAAAAGCTAATTGGAAAGTTAATTAGAAAATGTTTTGAAAAAAAAGTTAGTTAAATATAATTATAGATTCGGTTGAAAATAAATCGCAATTATTATAAAAAAAATCGCAAATATTATAGAAAAACTTTGTATTTAATAAAAAATTAAAATCAAATCACTGCGACTTTAATTAATTACAAAAGATATTTAAATTGATAACTATGATAATGCTTAAAGAATCATCTAATAGTGTATTTAATTATTTATATAATAAATTTAAATGATTTAGTGATGCCTTGGTGGCGATTTTATTTAATATTATATCCATATTTCTCAATGATGAATTACTAATTTTTTTTTAATAATTAATTTAATTAAATTTTTATTAATTTCGCGTTGATTGACGATTTTGAATTTTTATTGATTTTGTGGTGACTGATTGATTTTTTGAAACTATCTCAAACTTTTTTTTCTTTCATTTATTTTCGACAAAAATTAAATGGAGATGAAAAAAAAGAGATGAAATAAATGAACCTTAGATGTTAGAATGTGACATGTCAGAATGTGACTTTTGCGACCATTTCTTTAATGATCGATCATAAATATAACTTATGAAATAGTCATTGTTATTATGTCTGAACCTTTCGAACAATTAAAAAAATTATATCTACATATAAATTACTATTAATATATATATACTAATAAAATAAATTGAAAAATCGAAAATTATTGAGAATAATGAAACTATTAGTGAATAGGGAATGAAGTTTGAATTATTGTGGTCACTTCATAAATTAATCCTAGTTCTTGTTCTTAATTTAATATTTTTTATAAAATAATATAATATAATAAAATAATATATTTTTTATGCATCAATTTATTATTATTTCACTTTTTTTCATAAAAGTATTAAACTCAGATTACAAGATATTAGAAATTAGATCGAAAATAATTAAAAATTGTTTAATTAGAAATTAGAGTTTTATCCAGAATACCTTAAATACCAGTAGAAATAACAAA